TGAAGAAGCAGTCGACCCTGGGCTACAATTTTACCCTGAACAAACATAGCACAGAGATCACTAGAATGCTTAGATTAAAAGCAAAAACACACAAACACAAGTTCTTTTCTGTGATTGTTTTAGGATGCCTATGGGTAAATGACTAGGAATAGCAAACTTTGGTCAGATTAATGCTGGGCAAAGACTAATTGCAATTAATCGCATCCAAATTAAACGTCTATTTTGACATAACATATATAATATATATATATATATATATATATATATATATATATATATATATATATATATATATATATATATATATATATATATATATATATATATATATATATATATATATATATATATATATATATATATATATATATATATATATATATATATATATATATGTTTATTTATATATATATATATATAGGGAAATGAACTTTTTAAACAAATCAACAGGGAATCTGAAACTAACAGGCCTGCAGCTTTTTTTAAAATCACATGCACATTAAAAAACTAAATTACATAGAACACACAAATTTCTTATGGGAGTGTAAACGCACAATATCAGTACTTCATAAAATTTACTTATTAAAATTACCTCATAAGTAAAACATTTCAGAATGAAAAAACGGTATAGCTAGACTCAGGGAACAAGTCTATTGTCAATTATTATTAAAAAGAAGAGCAAAAATAAAAAAAATCCTTTAGTCTAGGAGGAATGTGATGATGTTGTGAACAGCAAAAAGCAGGACTCCATGTGTATGTTTTCTCGGCTTCTCACGCTGTTGATGCCGAGATTCTTGCTTCTGCAATGCAGTTCATAACTGAAAATACGGGTAAAATTGCTGTAAAATGAAAGTACGGAAAGTTCCTTCACAATTATACGGTAGTTTCCCTTGTATTTTTACAGATTTTTTAACAGTGTATAATGTAAATAAGATGTCATTTAGTAAGAATATGTCAATAACTCAATTTAAAAAAAAATGTCACATAGAACCTTATATATCTAAGGTGACAATGTGGAGTATTTCGATTTTAGTCGCATTATTGAAGTGCAGTACAAACATGTAAACACCGCAGTCAAACTATTACCGACATGTAGGAGTTTTCATCTCATTTTGCGACAGGATATTCCGTACACACACGGCTGTTTGACACTATTTTCTGCACCTACCGAGCCAGTAAAGGACCACAGACATCTGCAGTGCCCAATTTATTCGTGGTGCAGTATCAAATTCTATTAAAACCACACTCCAGTCCTTACTTCATACTCACATCCAATACCTCATAGTGTGTCACGGGGGCATGAATGAAATGTTCCTAAGTGAAAGTGAAACTGCCGACCTGCAGTTAAAGTAAAAAAATAAATTCAAAATAAAACACTCGAAATTACATGAAACTCTGGAGGAAATGTGGATAGCGCGGTGACACAATGACGTTAACGCCCCATTCACGCGGAGCTTCAGCGTCAATGCTTGACAGAGGGCGTGTCTGAAGTTGGGGCTGACATAATCGCCATAGCAGCGTCAGCCAATGAAATTAGTCAGCAATAGACTGCTGTCTGGCCTGGTGTATTTGCATACAGCAATCTGATTGGCTGATGCTTCCGCAATCCAAAATGCAGTTCGGCAATGCCTGACGTCACCCATTCAAAGTGAATAGGAAGCATTGAAGCTGACGCCGTGTGAATGCGGCGTAATCTACAGTATGTGATATAACATGTGAAACGGGATCATGAAAGGAACATTCCAAAAGCAACTCATGTAATCAACTTAATCACATTATTGTATTATTCAGATTAAGGGAAATAATTTGATTACTGATGTCCATTTAAACGTATTCATAGTCACGTAAAAGGGTATTTGAACTCATCCTGGTAACATTTAACACTGAATAAAGAACATAATCAGTACCTGAGGGCACCATTGTCATAGTAGCTTATCCTTTTTGTTTCTAAAATAAAAACTTTGGTGGTTAGACAAAAGTCATTCCAACATGAAATAGATGTAATTTATTGCATGACACAGCATTGCAACCTGGGGTTTTAAGTAAAATGTAATAAATGAAATCATTAACATATAGCTGAAGTTTAACCTTAAATAAAATTGTAATCCTGTAGATCCGACAATCCTGATTACCGTCAGACGTAATGAGGGTTCCTCATACAGTAGGTTCGCTCCATTGCTTCGTTGCTTTGGATTTAGCAGCACAGACGCTGGTCTTCCCACTCACAGTCAGAACTCTCCTCTCACACGCCTTCACACATGTGCGTGTTTTTGTCACCGATATGTATTGCGAGCCACCTACAACACCACAAGTTACTTGAGGATTCGAAACACTCTTTATCTTTTTTCCTGGCTTCATTATCAGTCTCTTTCTTGTCTTATTGCGACATACACAAACACTAAAGAAGTATTAGGAAATTCACTTGTACCCTGACATCTTTTCACAAAGGCTCACTGTGTTTTAACGCACACAGAGAACGCTCTTAGTTCATAGAGAGGTGAAAAGGTGAGGCTCCAAGAAGTGGTCGAGTTCCCGCACGTCCCTTCTAATGAGCATTAATTTGCCTCCTGCTCCTTTAAATCTTGGCACATTGTGTCCGTCTCTGCCTCCTCTCTCTTCTTCCTGCCAGGCGTCACTCCTTCAGACAGATTCCATCTCCGTGGCAATGCGAGGATGTGTCAGCAAGGCTTCAACCGCCTGCCACTTTACCTCACTGGAGACTAGAATGCTTGAGCGTGAACTGTAGACGAGATCCCTTTTTCGATAAGAAAGGAAGCAAGGTTATTCGCTGCTTTTCTTCCAGATTCAAGGATATGGCATTCGGAGATTGGGGTTGTAGACCCAGAGCGTCATTCTTCGTGATGATTTTTTGTATAAGGATGTACTAGGAGGTGTGTTTTGGTACGAACATGGAGTGTAAAGGTTCTGGGTCAGTTGCTCACCTTTTGAGTTCACTGGCAATGCCACATTATCACTGGGTACGTTCAATTTGACTTTGTCTGTTTTCTTAGTTCACTTTGGTCACTTTCGTTCACTGTAAAATGATTTTCTTGAGTTTTTGTCTTGTTTCTAGTCCAAATATTTTCGGAAATTAAGAGTTTTTCCTTAAAACAAGCAAATAATCTGCCAATGGGATTAAATATGTTGTATTTGCTTTGACAGGAGATTATTTAGCTTGTCTAAAAAAAAAAAAAAACTCACTTACTTTTGACATTATTTCTCAAAACAAGACAATTTATTTAAGTTTTCCTGAAAATTCTTATTTATTTAGGAATTATTATTATTTTTTTTTTATATTTGGACTAGAAAGGAGACTAAAACCCTAAGAAAAACATATTTTGCAGTGTTGTCTTTTTTTATGGATATATCATGGATAACCTGACGTTTGTGCCTTCCTTCCACAGTTGTCTGGTGGTTCGGAGTTGACGGTGGTCATCCACGACTTCATGGCCAGTAATGGAGCTGAGTTGACTGTACGTCGAGGTCAGACGGTGGAGCTGTTAGAAAGGCCCCAGGACAAGCCCGACTGGTGTTTGGTTCGCACCACTGACCGCTCACCTGCCCAGGAGGGCCTCGTTCCAAGCGCAATGCTTTGCATCGACCATTCACGCAGCAGTATGGAGATGGAGGGAATTTTCAATCATAAAGGTAAGACGAAAAGCTTTCTTATTTGACGCAGAATGGAGTGCAGGTACGCAATTTAAGCCATACACTGTAAAAAAATGTGCAGATTTTCACAACATGTTGATGTAATTTTTTTTACAGTAAATTACATTAGTATCACTTAAAAGGATTAAACTGTAAAAATTCACTGTAATGCGTTGTACTCATCATTTTATTGTAAAATTAAAGCAGGTAGCATGATTACAGCAAATTGCTGTAAAAAGGGCTATATCTTTTTCATGTTAGTTATAGGAATTCAAACTCTTTTTACTTAATTCAACATAGACAATAATATAAATTAACTTTTATGCAAGTATTGGCACTTTTTTGATATTTTAAAATAACAATGTTATTGCAGCCCCAAAAACTATTTGGTTACATCTTCAAAAATAGCTTGAAAGAAAATCATCCTGTTTGGAAACTACAAGAATGTCATTGTAAATTTTCATATTTGAGTGCACTGCACCTAAATTTAGTTTTATAAGGTTAATATGGAAATATGAAATAATTTTGAATGAACATAACTTTTTGCTTAACCAAAAACGTAATAAATTGAAACAAAAGCAATTGATTCATAGAACCAAACATTGTTAAACACCCAAAATGATTTCAAATTTAGGATAAATGTCAGAATGAATAGCTGAGGAAAGCCTGCTTCACAGTAAAATATAATTAATTCTACAACATAATACTGTGAAATTACAGTAATGGACTTCACTATCTACTGTGAAGTTGCACCATATGGCTGTAATTTCACAGTAATTTAATGTAACAAAATCACAGTAAATTACTGTGAACTTCCTCATAGTAATTTGCTGTGAATTCACATACAGTATTTTACTGTGAAAGTAATGCAATTATTAGCCAGTTGTTTACTGTGTCAGTTCAACACAAAATTATAATAAGTATAATTTAAAGAAATGGCTAAACGTAAAGCAAGTTTGTAATAATGTGTCATTCTTTTCTCTTGTTTTTTATGAAATTATCATTTTTTTTGTCATATGTAATTTTACTAATATTGTATGTGTAATAACGTGTTTTTGATTTAAGGTTTTAAAATCTTGACACGGAGTAACAGATGAAAATTAGCCCTTGTGGCTAACTTATTTACAGTTTTTAGTGTTAATAAATAAGTATTGTCCCTGTTAAACCAAATAAAGAATAAAGAAAGAACATTTTAAAGAATCCGAGTTTTTGGTACCCACTGACTTCGGTAGAATGTTCCTTTTCCTACAACTGAAGTCAGTGTGTATTGTAAACATTTTTTAAATTCTTTTTTGTTCAACAAAAGAAATAATCCCATAAAAGGGAGAGTAATGGTGAGGTATATTTCATTTTTGGGTGAACTACCCCTTTAACTGATTGGTCCTGGCGTGTGTTTGTCATACTGTGCATAAAATCTTTAACCGAAAATAGTTTAATAGTATCTGTTGTTTTTCTTTAAATTTTGTTCAAACAGGATCACACTTTAAATTCGAAGCATGTTCATTCAGTAATATGGTGTAGCAATACTTTTGCTAATAAATCAAATTTTGCGCTCATGTTATGCAGTATGTAGTTGGTACACTATTTACCAACATAGGCTCATTCTGAAAACATAGCCCTATATACATTTCTGGAGATCGTGAGTTATGTAGCCTGAGGATCGTATGGCTGCGTTTCGTCTTTAAAACGAACACTACGAGGAGATATGATGCTGTTCCTTACCAGATGACTGCTTACTTTCGTATAGAGGCCTTTCCCGCTGTTGCCAGTTTGCCCAGTAGCTCGCTGCATACGTCAGAGGATTTGAGGTGCAGAACTTAGTTGACCGTGATAACGGGGTTCGAGTTCAGCGAAGAATAGTTCCAGTAAGCAGGTAAAACAAAAACAAAAGCCAAAAAATAAAACAAAGAAGTAAATAACAGAGTGAGAATGTGGGAAAATCTGAAAACGTGTTACACATCAGGCTGCCGTGAGGGATTTTCTTTTTCTGGATTGCTTTTGAAAGCATTGTCGGTTGGGTTTAGGGTAGGAGGAGGGTGGGGGATCGGTCAGTAGATCAATCAATGAGCAAGTCGTTGACATCGGTCTCTGGTGGATTTACGTGTGAACAGCAGGCATGAATGGCACTCGCGAAGGAAATTTGAGAATCGCGAAAACAAAACGACAAAAAACCAAGCTCAAACATAGCATTTGGCGCTCTCCAGAAATGTGTATATAGGGGTATGTCATCAAAATGAGTCTGAATTGCCATTTACTCATTCATTCAGCAGCATTTTCCACATTATCATTTCTCTAAGATGCTATGCTAACTATTTGTTGTTCGCGTGTGTTTTGCTTTATTTAAGGTTTGATTCATAATGGCTTCCCTCTTATTATGAACTGTGCTAGTGATGCTGGTAATTGTGAGCATAGTTGGCTAACGTTGTTTTGGGAAACACTGGCCTGCTCAGATGACGATGGAATAAGGATTTTGCAATTATTATTTAAGTTTGGAAAATTGTGTTTGTCAGTCTTTTGAGTTCTTGTCAACTCACTGATAGTGTTGATGTTTTTCTCCAGTCGTGCTAATGCTTGAGGAGTTAGTCAAAGACACGTCAACAAGCACGTCTGGGATTCCCAGCTGGTATAAACACCTTTTTTTAATTATTATAATCAGTCTGAGTAACTTCAAATCACTATTTTTAAGTACTGATTTCTCACTAGGGGCGACGCAATGGCTTAGTGGTTAGCACTGTCACCTGACAGCAAGAAGGTGGCTGGTTTGAGTCCCAGCTGGGCCAGTTGGCATTTTTGTATTTTACATGAGTTTACATGTTCTCCCCGTGTTTACATTGGTTTACTCCAAGTGCCCCGGTTTTCCCCACAGTCCAAAGACATGTGGTATAGGTTAATTAAATAAACTCAAGTGTCTGTAGTGTATAAATGTGTGTGAATGAGTGTCTATGGGTTTTTCCCAGTACTGGGTTGCAGCTGGAAGGGCTTTCACTGCATAAAACATATGTTGGAGGAGTTGGTGGTCTATTCCGCTGTGGCGACCCCTGATAATTAGGGACTAAACCTGAAGGAAAACTAATGAATAAATGATTTCTCACTATGAAGCAGTGGTGCAGTAGGTATTGCTGTCGCCTTACAGCAAGAAGGTCACTGGTTCGAGCCTCGGTTCAGTTGGAGTTTCTGTGTGGAGTTTGCATGTTCTCCCTGCATTCGCGTGGGTTTCCTCCGGGTGCTCCGGTTTCCCCCACAGTCCAAATACATGTGGTACAGGTGAATTGGGTTGACAAAATTGTCTAGAGTTTATGAATGTGTGTGTGGATGTTTCCCAGATATGGGTTGCAGCTGGAAGGGCATCCGCTGTGTAAAAACTTGCTGGATAAGTTGGCGGTTCATTCCGCTGTGGCGACCCCGGATTAATAAAGGGACTAAGCCGACAAGAAAATAAATGAATGAATGAATGAATGAATGAATGATTTCTTACTATAGGAAAGCTTAAAGGGAAAATTCACCCAAAATGAAAATAACCTCATCATTTACTCTCCCTCATGTTATTTTAATTCTTTAAGAGTTTCTTTCTTCTGTTGAACATAAAAGAAGATATTTTGAAGAATGCTTGTTTGTGGAAACTCATCAAATTCTATAGTAGGTCAATGAGTGTCAGCTACTAGCATATTTAAATCAGAAGAAACTTAAATATACACTGTAAAAAATGCTGGGTTCTACACGATTAATTTGTATTAGGACAACATGAAGGAATTAACTAACTTACTTTTTTTGTACAAATTTAAGTGGATTAAACATTAAAAAAAATTTTTGTTCCCCCAAAAAACTCAAGAATTGTTTCAGCTCGTTTTAAATAAGTAGTTTGAACAAACAGCAATCATCATTTTTAGTTTAAAGTGTATTTCAAACAAGGGCGAGCAATTGATGGTAGTATTTTTATTTTTTGGTGAACTCATTCATTTTCTTGTCGGCTTAGTCCCTTTATTAATCCGGGGTCGCCACAGCGGAATGAACCGCCAACTTATCCAGCAAGTTTTTTTTTTTTTTACGCAGCGGATGCCCTTCCAGCTGCAACCCATCTCTGGGAAACATCCACATACACATTCACACACACACTCATACACTACGGACAATTTAGCCTACCCAATTCACCTGTACCACATGTTTTTGAACTGTGGTGGAAACCAGAGCACCCGGAGGAAACCCACGCGAAGGCAGGGAGAACATGCAAACTCCACACAGAAAGGCCAACTGAGCCGAGGTTCGACCCAGCGACCTTCTTACTGTGAGGCGACAGCACTACCTACTGTGCCACTGCCTCGCCCTTTTGGTGAACTATCCCTTTAAATATTTAAATAACTTAACGACACTACATTAAATCGAATTATTCTTATGCGGGCGCCAGATATTGTGTATGGGAGAGGTGGATCAAAGCTGTGTACAGGTGTGAGTGTCTGCTCTTGACTCACCCCGATACCAAATCAAAATTTAATTGCAGTCCAGCTTTGCTCTTTCCTATTATGGTTTGAAGTGTGTCGAGCACACAGTAACTATGGCGATGGGCTGTGTCAGGTGATGAACAGCGTTGCCAGGCTGCAGGGGATTTCCCTGCTTGGACCGTATCCACGTCCACAGGACAGTTAATGTGATCTTGTGATTTTGATCATGTTTTAACTCGCAAAAATACATATAGGTTACTAGCATTCAAATCAGTATAGTATTTGATTCCGCTTTACATTAGGTGTTTTAAAATGTATTGGTTTGGTACATTATTGTGGACATACAGTATGTCATATTGTTGTTGCAGATGGGAGTAGTTTTACCATTTCTGTACAATTGTTTATCCATAATTTTACATACTGCCATCACTTACTTAGCTTTTACTTGATCTAAACCACCAGTTTTGATTTTTTTTTTTTTAATTTTGTTTTTTTTTTTACTTTTTTTTAATTATATCTGACATTTAAACTACATTGGCTAGTAGTTGCTTTTGCTTTTACAAA